GGCACATCTTTGTAGCTAAGAAAAGTAAGTTTGCCACTTGTAGTCAGCCGACAAGAGGTCCAACCAACTTGGCCTGACTCTTGAAAATCGAAGAGCCGACTGATTGACGAGGTACGGAACGTCAGGAAAGGTGACGGCCTCCACTCTGGCCTTGTGCCCCTAACACAAGCGCTCGCATTCCGCCAAGACCAAAACAGGAGTGACGCTCTAGTCACGTGGTGGAAGGCCTCGTATGAGAGCGGCTTTTGTGTACGATCACATTATAAGTGGAAGGTAATATGTCATTTTTTATTACATCATAAACGCTCTATTAGTCTTTGTGAAGTAAGAAATTGTCAATTATCTTCAATTTAAGGTTGAGTGTGATATATTCACACTCAACCTCAGATTAAATATTACTTATTAGTACCGACATACGATTCTAAAAATTCAGTAAATAATTCCGTTTTTATTTATAAATTGATTGAATTCAATTTAGTTTTTAATTTCATTAATCCCAAACATATTTCGTATAGAAATTTTAAATCCTAATACGATTCAAAATTAATGGTATTAGCCGATTGTACGGTGACCGTTATGCGTCCGTTACCGGTAACACCATCTAGCGGTAAGAAAATAATAAGATGTTAAATAAATACGCTAATAGAGGGCTTCAGAGTGTTGCTAGTATTAATCAAATTGGTCGACTACTGTCCGTGTTTTTAATCATATTGGAAACCAACACTCCACGATAATCCGTTACGACGGTCAGTCCCATGCGAGAATATGGACAGCTCATTTTCATAAGTATTTTTTAAAACCCAAAGTTTAATACAAGACTAATAGTAGGAAAGAAAGACATATACAGAAATACAAGAAAGACATTATGTAAAGTCCATACACGTTAAACTTTCTCTTGAATCACTAAGGGATTTCAACTAAATTTTATGCAAAATCAGCATTTATAACGATTCTATTATAGTTATACTATTATTTATTGTTAGCTTAAACATATGACCAGTCGGCGGCGATACGGATTGCCAATAAACAGACGAGACCTGTTATTTGGAATCGACCACGTGTCTAAACCTCGTCGACCTCGCTGAGAAATATGTTAAGGTGACTATTTGATTTTCAAAGTTATTTTTTATACTTATTTGAAATCGCTGATGAGACGTGGTGTAATTTTCAGAGGTTGTTTTCTAAGGAAATCCCAAAAGGAATTCGTGCTCCGAAGAAAGTTTATCGACGATTGGGTAAGCATGACACTGTCCACAGACTCAAAGAGCCGCCGTCGACATTATTGTGATTGACATTAAGCTACGAGAACAAAACTGTAAGTTTTTTTATTTAGTATTTGATTGAAGACGAGGCCTGTGAGATCACCGTTTTGGACACTACTTTATAGGTTTTTACAATTGAAATGCTCCCGTGGGGAATTAACCGAAAGAGTCAAGGTTTTACAGGAAAAACAAAATCCATTCAGAGCCACACAGAGCCTCATCGGCTGGTTGCGGAGGACCTCCGTGGTCCGGTGCGTAAAGTTTGGAAGCCCGGGAAACAGTGGAAGACGCCATATTGAGAGGTTAGTTTAACACGTATAACAGTGTTTGACATTTGTTTTGTGATACTTAACGTTACTTTTTCTACGCGCGCTTTGCACTAATAAATAGAGGACGTTCTCGCGATTGCAACGCGGGGTTTCGCGCCCCTCTGTACGTTATAGCGGCCGTGTAATAAGGGAAAACTACCCGCTGTAATTTTTTAATAGCAAATTGAGATTTTTTTCAGGTTGTTATTTACCATAGCAATCGTAGGTATAAAGATAAGTTTTAACGGGTTTTGAGGAAAAAAAGTGGTTTTTCCGTCCTTTTCTCTCCGGGAATCGTTCGGGGAGGGTCTGGGACCAGTAAGTTTAGGTTTCTAGGCTGTAGAGCCAAAGAAACGGGACTTATTGGCAATTATTATCGATCGATATAAATAGTAGTTATAAAATGTCGGTCGACATTTAAATAATTAGTGATGTGAGTATCACCCTTGAGTGCTCTGGCAGGGCTGTAAAAAGGAAACAAAGACGTGGATCTGACGTGGCGTCGGATGAGGATAGCGGTAAAAAGATGAAATCGATGTCGGTCTTGGTAACAGAACGCTATAATGAGATCATGAAGGGTCTGGACTGGTTGTCTTCTAAGGCCAGAGAACGAGACTCCAAAAATAGTTCGCTGCTAAACAAATAAAATGCGAGACAGTTTATATGCAAAGTGGCTGAAATTAAGCAGATGATAAGAGATGAAATCATGACGGGCAAGATAAAGGCGAACGTTGTTAAGGAAGTTGTGGACCAATTTACAGACACTATTGTTGAAAAACAAACCGAAATTGATAACCTTCGAGATGAAGTACGCGAGCATAGACTACGAGGAACCGGTACAGTTGGGGCAGAAGGCTCCGGGCCTAGCCAAGGAGCTGAAGCTAGACAAGCATTTTACTCAGCCCTGGCTAAATAAATCTCGGGCAACACTGGGTCGGGACAGCATGTAATGAATAAATAACAAATAAATAAACAATAATTAAACGAAAAACTCCCTCAACCACGATGTGTACAAAGGCCATATCAACAGCGCCATTGCATAATGAAATTTGGAAAATATGAATTCATCATTATAAAACAGAATTTTGTATATTTCTTACACAACAAATATATATTTTCAAAGTAAATTATGTAAAAGCAGAGCCCATAATAAAAGTATTATTATCAGCAGTCCAAAGGTAAAGATGCAGAAGCCGTAGCTGAAGTTCCTATTCCAAGACAAGATGACGAAGCATGTTAAGAAAACGAAAAAAAAAGCGCAAAAAAGAACAATATTCCGTTGATAACAGGTCGGTCCTTAGCACACGCTGGTTTTTATTTTTATTTTCAATCAGCAGTCCAAAGGTGTGTCCTCAAGTGTGCCTTGTCTATAGATGTGTATGCACTCAGAATACATAGTCGTTGGCCGGTCATAAACTAAGGCCAAAGACCATTAAAAGGGTACGTCAACACCGCATACACACCTAAAGATAAGATGGATTCGTGAACACACTTTTAGACTGCTGCTGTAGTAGTAAATTGTATTGTTTAGAAATAAGTTAATTACTATGTCCACATCTCTCCCACCCTTATGAACTGTTCTCTTTTCCATTTCCTCCCATCAATTTGTTTGTCTCAAATTTATTACTGATCGACATAGTCGTGTGATCGAAAATCATCAGCTCTCTGGAACTTAAGCAATTTCGTTACTGACCTGGGCATCAGATTTTGTTTAGGTAACATCTTTGACGCGTACACAACTGCTCACAACTGTACGCATAAATTCCTGTAGCCACATAAACAAACGAAGAAGGTCACCGAATCGTCTCTTGCACCTTGGACATGAAGTGCTGAACTCTCGTGTTGTCTCTAGTGGTGAGCGTAGTGGAGGCCATGGGAGTCAGCGTGACCGTAGTGTTAGTTACCATCGTGGCTGTTGATATGCTCAGACTGGTACGGTTGGGAATGTGGGGTCGTCAAGATATCAGCCTTATCATATTCCACGACCAGTCCACCAGCCCAGCCTAGTAGCTTTTTACAGGCATTGGTGGCTTTGGGAAAAATTGGTATGGATAATACATTTGAACACCTATTAATAAAATTAAAAATATTAATTAGTTCTTAAACCACAAATTATAGCTGAAGTCACAGCTTTCTACAAGGCTACAAGGAAACTACCACCAGCGGCATCACAATATATTCCACCACCACAGCTACGGTGCCACCGATATGGTCGACATGGCCATTATCGGAGACAATGCCGATCCAGAATGATTTTGAAATTGTAACTGTAATTTTTTTACGCAAATTTAAATGTTATTATTATATTATTTCATTAAATTTTATGTTTAGTTTAGATTAGGTGTATGTTATTTTAATTTTAATTATAAGTTTAAATTAAATTTTACCCACCCGATACTTGATATTAACTAATTCTAATAAAAGAATTATTAAAATAAGGAAATGTTTAGACGATCAATTATTTAGACAATTTGGTGTAATAATTTTTGTCTGTTTTATAGTTTTGTTTTTATAATTTTGTTTTTATAATTTTTATCAACAATAGTTGAAACGTTGGTGTAAATCTAGTTTAGCGCTCACGCTTTTATTTCAAAATGTGTGTTTTTACGCTGATGACGATGGTGAAGTCAAATTTGGTCGGTCTGACTTACTTTTCAAGTTAAGTATAAGAAAAAACTAGATTTTCGTAATTTTTCTAAAAACGTGATAATGCTTTCAAAAATTATAATGTTTTAACCATTTATTTTTTATTAAACTAGCTATTAGATTTAAAAGTTTTTTTTCAAATCAGAGTTCACTTAGAGTACTCTTTATTTTTTAGTTACCTATAACTTTTGTAGTTATTAGCAAAAAACCAATGCGAATATCATCGCACACGGAGCCCAAGGCGCCGCGGTGAGCGGCGGACGGCCCCTGTCGACTTTACCGAACACCTTTTTTTTACCATCTTGTAGTCTCTTTATGATGATTACGAATGGACTAATGGACTCCTGTAATTCCAAAGTTATAGCTACTTGAAATTTGCATATTATTTCCGCGTGTATCACAATAGGCTGGTGGCTGCGGCCGCACCATACATAATATGTCAACGACGCGAGTGCGCGCTGCTTACTTATTAGTTAATTATTTATTGTTATTATAATATTATCAATTATGTGATATCAATATTGTATTGAACAACAATACAATTTTCTTAAGTATTAAAGCTTGAAGTTAGTAAATCTTTATTACATATGTTTATTTACATTCAATTATAGAATCACAAATTCGCGGTGAGCGACAATACTTCGATAGATAACAGCACACTTTTATCTTTTATGATCTATGATGATTATACGGCGACTATTGATATATTTTGGGAATTTCATTTAGAAAATAAAACTTTGATTACTAATTTGTAAACCGCGCCAAATATATTTTATCACTCTATGTTGTTGTAACAGGTGTCAGGTGTTCTTGTGACACGCTTTTGTGTCCATGGTATACTTATTGTAGTGATAACACATTACGACTTATGATAAGAATTACGAACAGTGAACACAGTTTTACAAAATACAACATAAGAGCGTTTGATTTAAAAAAGAAAATTTTACCCAATCGTTTCTGTCTTTTACTTGCCATAGCACTTGATATAACCGAATATAACGGATATGCTGTATTCATCTTTAAAGGTAAATATTATATTTTATATAATTCGTTTTAACGACACATGAACGTGACTTCGTTTGGCAATCTTCTAATATACAGTCCGATGATGTATATTTTGCAGAAATTTGCCCTCATTTGCCACTTGTGTGTCAAACGCATTGAAAAGTTTCAGATTTACTCAATCAGCTTCAAACAAACTCGACTAATATGATACGATGCTCAATTTTTGGAAAAACATTCAAACCAAAAAAAGTCCAACGTCTCCCGGCAGTAAAAATATTTCTTTTAATCTATCCAGTAATGGAATAGCGCCACTCAAAGACTATGAAATTAATGAAAACAGTATGAAAACAATTGTGTTTATTAATTTCAGTTATTAAAATTATTAATTTTGGTTTCCCGTAGAACTTTTTCCACTCGAAAAGTGTAGATTGTCATTGAGTTACGTTGACGCATTGGAAACTAATAACGAATCAGTTATACTGTTGTTTAAGCAATTTCTAGACCATAGGAATTCATTGTCGCTTTATCGTTTGAACATGGATTTAAAGCACCATACCAATATTGGCGACGATTTGATGCGTCAAAATATTTTACGAAACATCACAGTTCACCATATCAATATCCCTGATACATTAGTAGTTAAAATAAATGCTAATGATGCCCGCTTGGATACTAACGATTATAATGAAATCGCCGAAAAAATTAATGTGATATTAGAAGAGTATGTATAAATTTTATAAAATCCAATTTGGAATCGTTTTTTTAAATTATTATCAAATGCTCTTTACTGATATTTTCAGGTATTGGAACAATTTTGTCCAGACTGATATGTTTTGTAAATATCAAGTTGATGTTTTAACTAGTGGTCAAGTAACGCTCGGCGATATATTGCAGTGTGATGGGCTTCTTTCATATTTTATGGAGGTATTTTATCTATTTAATATTAAATCATTTTAATTTTTTTTTTTTAATTATTTAAAATTAACGAATAAGTTGAATTTTGACTTAAAAATTTACAAAAGGTCAAGATTTCATTTTTTTACTTATAGCTTATAAGGAATTTTAATTTAAAAAAACAAATTTTTATAGTTTCTCGACGGAGAAGGATATAGATCTGTTGTGGAGTTCTGGTTAGCTGCTACTAATTTCGAACGATGTGTTGAACAATTCAAGAATACAACATTGGATTACGAACAAGCACAGAACGATGCAATTTGTATATACGACAAGTAACTACAGAGATAATTAGTTTCTATTTTAAAAATGATCAACTAATTGTTGTAATATGATTTTTTATTTTAGGTATTTATCTCTCCAAGCCACGTGCCCACTTGGCTTTTCCGACCAAGTAAGGATTTCAGTCGAGGAATCTATGTGCCCAGCCGACACGTCGAGCCAATCATCAGTCATGCTTGGGCAGTGTTTTCGTTCAGCCGTCTTTATAGTTTTATCGTTTCTACGTCACAAATGTTTACAGCCGTTCCTTTCGTCCCAACACTATGTACGGTATTTGTCCGAACTAATTAAAGCAGGCAACTCCTATCAGTGCCTTACTCAAGATAACGATTCTTCGAGTTCGTCAATATCCGAATACAGCACTAATTCAAAGCGTTCAATGTCCTCACTTTTACCATATTCCGCCAGCACGGATTCTTTATGGCGAAAAAGACAACAAAGGTAAGCGGCACTAAGTATTTTGATTTATAGCTGTAGTTTTTGTTGATTTTCTTTTTTACATCAATATTGTTTTTATTTCAGTGGGTTGAGTTTTGGCCGTGTTGACCAATACGGTCGATTTGAAAGAAATATAGAACCAGATCCTGATAAAAACAAAGGTGTGTTTCTCATATAATTTTTTTTTAATAATAATTCATAATCTTTTATTATAATTACCTATTGTAAAATAAATCATTTTTTTTTTTTAATAACAAATTTTAAGAATCTGGAATCAAACGTATGATGAAAAAATTTGTAAATAAAGATGGCGTTAAAATGCAAGAAGATATGGCATGGCAAATTGCTGAAATGATCGTTAAAGATATAACCAGTGTGACGATGGCTAACAACGAGGAGGATTCTGATCCAGAATAATAAATTAGAAAATAATTTTTAATCAAACTCTTAAATGTAAGTTCTATATTTACATTTTCAAAGTTCTAGATAAAAGATGCACAATATTGTAAATAATTTATAATTTATATAAGTATTATTATTATTATTATTATTATTCTAACCACGATAATATTATCGTAATATGTTCAAAATATTAATTGTTAAATAATTACTAAATGTTTACTATACCAAATGTTAAAAAAAAATATTGAAATTAGTGATAAGGCAAAATATAATATTTATATTTTTATTGGGTTTCGATTTTACGTAAGAAATATTTTTACATTTTATACTATATGAGTTATGCATTTATCTATGTACTATGAATTTTATCTTAATTTCACAAAATGTCGTTGGGATTTAACCACGATTTCTTCATAGACATCTTAAACCATCTTATAAAAACTAACTGTTGAAATAATTATAATTTAATACTTAAATCACGTTGGAAATAAAATACTTACTACTTGACTAATTGTAAGATTAATTCAACCAAAAATTTATGACGTATACTCGAGTAACAAAAAATGATGTGCATTGATCAAATAACAAACAAACAAACAAAAAATGACATACTATTTGAAAATATATATTTATATTATGATTGGTATTATTAATATAAATGAAAGGTACATAATTTAATATAGTCCTAAAAATAATACTGTATTGTAAACTATATTTATTAAAAATTTACGAATTTTATTTATTCTTAGTCGCTTTTTCAAATCTGTAAATAATTTTTGACTACAATATTATTTATCTTGCTATTATTTATATAAGCCAAAAGTATTTTATCGAATAGTGTTTGATTATTCTTCTAGGTCTTGTTGGCTCATCGCCGTTACAACTCGTCACACATTTTTGTGCATAGCTAATTGAACTCCATATTTTATTTTGGCTACTAATTCATCCTCCAGTTCCTATAATGATGTAATTGATTTGTTCTGCAAATTAGTATGATGAAAGGTACCCGACCTTTTTCCTAAATAAACTTTTACTAAAATAAATATTCGGTTCGGTATATTATCAAATACTACATCTTTACATGTTCTTCTTTAGCTACAACTTTTTTTTATTTTACGGCCAAAGTACGGGTGGTGTGGCGTTATCTAAATAATTATTTATTATCTACTCTGTTGCTTATAAATTCATTTCAGACTGTGTTCATACCTCCATCCACAATTTTTTCCCTCTACATCGTCTTTCAATGCCCAAATTATTTTTGGTTAAAATTTACCTATCGTTAAATATCTAAATGTGTCTCTCGTTGCCGCATTGTTTAGTTTAGATTTTTTACAAATTTTCATAGCTCATGCTAAGAGTTTACATACGTTTAATTTGATGATTGAATAGAACATAATTATTTTTAGTCAATTTGTATTAAAACGTATATATTATAAATGATGGTTTATAATTAAATAATATTTACCTTAAAAGTATTATTAAGAAAATATATTAACAACATTTATTTCTGGCCTAAAAATTATTATATAGGTAATATACAAACATTTTAATTTAGTGTACACCGAATAGCGTACAGTAATCGTTTAGTGAAGTGAACGGGATTCTCATAAGTTTCATTGCAAATAGCTCTTATAAGGCGCTTAAATAGAGCAACATCTATATTGTCTACAAGAACAAAAAAATATTTTTATTTTAGATAAATGAATAATAAGTATGTATAAATACATTTTTAAAATATAAACAGCAATTATACACTCCACAGCAGCTCAGAAAAACAAAAGCAAATATGTTTTACAAAAAACACTACCGTTTTCACTTTATATTAGTACTTTATGTTAGGTTATTTGCTTTACTTTTCGTTTGTGCTGACCAATTCACATTATGATCAGAACAAATTGAAATATAGTATTACTAAGTAGTATAATACATTTAAATTGTCCTTGTACAACGCATTCAGTGGGAAAATGAAAAAGTAGTACACTAGTGGTATAGCTAAACTACAATTTAAGGAGTATACATTTTTTAGTATTATAAAAATTAATTTTTCTAACCAAATTGTGTATGTAATAATAATAATACACAAAAATTCACTTCTATCTCCCACATTTATCAAATATTTTCAATGAAAAATTAATTATGTTGATTAGGTACATATAAAATGTCCCGTGTGTAGGATGCTATTTGACTTTTAAAAGTTATCTTCTTAGCCAATACCATTGAGTATATAGTATACATATATACTTAATGCCAATACTTAATTATTATTTTTTTAAATTTTGAACAAAAGCAACTAAGTAATATAATGCATGGTATGGTTAGTCAATCGTTAAATCTAATGAAATTAACGCTAACACTGTTTGAAAACATCAAAATATGTATCATTCGTCTCGTTATTTAGTTCTGAGAATGTTAGTTTAGTTTTTAAATTAGCTCTTTGTATTTTAATGGACGAAGACTCAAAAACTTAATTTACTGGACCGACTTCTCCAAGAAACATTCATATTGATTAGAAATCGCATGCGATTGGTATAATTTGTTTGGTTGATATTTATCATAATATGCATAATTCTATTTTTATAAACGCAGATTAGATTACTTCCTTAAAACTATTCCACAGCTTCAAATTGAAGCTATAAAAAATATGTTTAAATGATAAATATTGAGTACAATTAATAGTTACCTTGGCTTAGCCTTTCGCTTGGATAAAGCATAAAGTACCCATTTATTACATTTATGTGATCAGCTGAAGGACCCACAAATGCATAAAAATGATCCATTGTGATATTATTATTTGGATGTATTTCAAAATACTTTTTCATTTCTTCATAAGCGTGATTTAGATTCTGAAATTTGTTTTTATTAATGTTGTATTATAAGACAAGTATTATTTTTATATGGAGCGATTCATTAATTACAAGACACCCGCTTTAATAAAACTAAACAATATTCAAGTTTTTATATAATTTTTTGTTTTTTTCGAGAGCTTTAACAAATTTAAATACTTTAAGGTGGTATAATATTATATTAAATTAACTTTTTCAATGAAGAATAAATTCGATGACTAGTTTGACACTAGTTTTGGATAAATACTTCTAAAGATACTTCAGATTAAAATTTGGGACAGAAGGTGGTATGCGTTCGAGTAATAAGCGCAGTTAAAAACAATAATACACTCCAACCTTCCTCAGTTTATTTATTCGTGGCCATATAAATTATAAACAATTTACCTATAATTGTTATTTAGTATTTAAATGAATATTTCTTTAGTGATATATAATAAATAAAAGTACAACTTTTATGTATGAATAAAGTGATATAATATATATTTTTTTAGCTATTCTAACGGTAGGTATATCAGAATTAACAAGACAAAAACATGTCAATCCATGAAAATTACTGTATAGAAGTCATAATAAAAGAAAAATTAGACTATTATATCAAAATAACACATTACCTAAGTATTATTGTCTGAACAAATATAAACCAATAATTACCCTGTCGTTAGTAATTTCTCTCAATGTAACCCGACGAATGCGACGGAGTTTTGACACTAAAACTTCAGTGAAGCGTATTGGATCCCTTCCAGTTCCAATGCAAATTTGTCTTATAAGGTACCTAAATATATGAGTATTTATATTGTCTACAACATAAAAAAAAATGTGTTATTTAAAAACAAATAACTAATAGCTATATATATATAAATGTTTAGAGTATAAACAGCAGCTACTCAACGTACGGTAGGCCCAGGAAAATAAAAAAACACGACGAAATTTTACAAAATCCTCAATAAATATTACCGGGTTTTAATCTTAACACCATCTTTTCGTGAAAATTTAAAAGTTTATTTAATATATATTTATTGTATTTACAAAAAAAAACCATCAGTATTTCAATTTTTATAAACGCAAATTAGAATACATCCTTAAAACGTACTACTTCACAGCTTAGCATCGAAGCTAAAAATGTATGATTAAATGGTAAATAAAGTACAACTAAAGGTTACCTTGGCTTACAATTAGTCTATCGCTTGGATAAAGGATAAAGTACCCATTTACTAAATGAGTATGAATATCAGAAATACCCACAAACTCAAAAAACTGATTCATAGTAATATTTTGATCTGGTTGTAATTCCCACCAAGTTTTTAGGAATGCATAAACATCATCTAGAGCCTGAAAATGTATTTTTATTATATTGTATATTATTATACAAGATGGTTCATTAAGGACAATACGCTCAATTTTTCTTAAAATAATTTCAATTTTTTTCAGAGCTTTATACAATTTTAAAACTTTTGTGGTAAGTTTTAATTTTTATACTTAATATTAACTTTTTTAATTAAGAATGATTTTCTGGCAATGTTGTCTGATCGACAATCAGTATTCGAAAATACTACTAAAGTTAATAATGTGTAAAATAAAGGAAGGGAGGTGCAGTTTTTTGGATTTACGCATGTAGTTAATATAAAACAACACTCCACTCTTCCTCTCGTTTTAATTTTAACTTTAATAACATTAATAGTTATTGTTTAAAACTTGTTATCGACCGGTCAACATTTTCTGCAAATTATCCTTAATTTAAAAGTCAATAAAATATATACGTTGCCGTTTAGGTTTCAAAATTATTGTTATACAGCTCTGAAAAATACTAAAAAACTACAAAATTGCTTTTATTTTATGAAAAATTTAAACATTATCCATAACGAATCATCCTGTATATAGTTACATCAAAACTGATTAAAAAATTAACATCAAGTAATATTGCCTCTCAGTCTATAAAACAATTACCTCGTTATCGGTAAGTTCTCGCTGCACATCTTGTGTACCCAGTACGCGGTTACCATTTAAATTAAACGATATTAACAAAATAGTGAACTTGAAATACATTTTATTTACTATAAAGTTTATATAGTATAAGTTTAACTCAAAAACAAATCGAATAATTTATTCTCGCTACAATTGCTAGTTTTATAGTACCTAAATGAAAAAAAAAATGTAAATAACAATGTTTGGTCTTCAAATTTAATTTTATATTAACAACGACTAATAATTAGCAAACAAAGAACTGTTTATTTAATAAGTGCTCTAAATTATTATTTAATTCAAAATACATTTTAATTATTGTAAAAATAGCTAATTGTATTCGACGGGGTTTAGTAGTATGCACACATAAATATAATACTAAACCCCCCCCTTCTTCTCGTCTTTTTAACTTTATTAACTAAAAAATAAATTTCCAAAAATGGTTATCAGCCAGACAAAAATTTTAGTTAACTATTCATTATTAAAAAAATAAAATTAAGTATATAGCACGTTACCTTATGAGTATTAAAAGTTGATAGTATTTTGGAAAATACTAAAAAAAGGTAAACATTTAGCAATTTTTTAATATTGTAAACTAGCAAAAACAAACCATGTTTTCAAAAAATACAAAATTACAATTATTTTAAGAGATATTGAATATCTAATTTTGAATAAATTATCATGTATAGTTTAATCTACGTATATTCAGGTGTTTTCTGTTTACATATTAAGTTTAAATTCAGAAACTACAGACACATGCCAGAAATTAAAACTAACTATGAATATTAACGTAATCACTGTTATTTTAACAAAATAAGACAAAACAACGAAAAATTTATTCAAAAAATATTTTTAATATATATACAAAACTAAAAAATATTCATAAAATCGCATTTAGGAACTAATATATTAAAAAAATGAAGTATTTATAATTAGTTTACAAAATGTTTATAAAACCAAATTTAAGTAATTCTTAAAAATCTCTAGCTATCTGTTAATAATTTAATGTATTTTAAATTAGACTCTGTAATAAAATGAATACTTTTTTCTCGCTGCCATAGCTATTTTTATAGTGAAATAAAAGAAAGCAATGTAAACAATGAAAATAATACAATTTTATATTGTGGTATAAATCAAACAGTAAATTTTAATAAGATCATATTTCAATTGTTTTTTTTATATTAAGCCAGCAGAAAATTAATTTGTTTTCCAAAAAAGTGTTTTATAACATAATAATGTTAAGGTGAAGGGTGGACGATACAATTTTGTAAGATTCTTCCAAAAACATAAACGCAATAATTTCGATTATATATATAAATACATTTTCGATTGTTTAACGTAAAATTTGGAAGAAAACTATTATATACGATTCTTAACTTCTTTGTACCGTGTTGCTAATAAATTTCCATCACAAATTTAACACAATAGTTCCCAAATTCCTTTAAATCAAATTAACTTATCTAAATTAATCTAATCTAAACTAAATGGGTCTCGTTGCTGAAATTGGGGCCCTTGTGCATTATGAACTTTCCGTATATATTTCGATTCAATCAAATCATTTTTATTTCTGACCAATTTCACTCACGTTAAATTCTTATTATAAAAAATTGTATTTAAAACTATAGATGATGGTTGTTGAAATTTAGGTACAACGCTATTGCCGGATAAGTGCATCACGTGTCATTCCTCATAAATGTTTCGTATCAATTTCAATTCGATCAAATCATTTTTGTAGAAGTTACAGTTAATCAAATTTAAAAGCGACAAAATTATTAACAATGTTAGGGTGCTTTCTTGATTTTAAGCGTGAAGAAATGATTATTTTGGTGATGGCTTACAACTCATCATTAAATATTTGTACACGCGTAAAAAAAATTATATATAAATTTCTGTTACTTATTTGAAATCTATGTCTTTATAGAATTTTTAATTTATTAGATCATTACCACCAAATTTTTCTTTTTGTGTGTGTTAAGAAAATAATAACATAGAAAATTGAAAGCTGCGAGAAAATACCTATAAATAACAATATTTGGTGTTATATTGTAATATCTTTTCTACTGCTATATTATTTGAATATTCATAAATCAAAATATCCTAAATTTTTAATAAAACCACGTATACAACGGGCATGCCAATGTGTATATTGCCTTTAATTAGTACACGTTATTTTGTTGAAATTTATTATTTGTTTTTTAGCTATGTCATATGTGTATCTATTTAAGTTTTTTACATTCGTTATAAAACACATAATTTTATTATTTTACTCGCATTAAAATAGCATATTTAGAAAAATCATATTTTAAAACAAAAGAAACTAGTTTAATGTCACATGCCACAGCATTGTTAATTTTTTTACTACACTACTATTATTTATATTATTAGGGATTTATTTATCGGGATTTTTTCCTCACACTGTTTGAGTTTCGTTATCAATAACTGTAAATTAAAATTGATAAGAATAATTACTGATAATATTAGTGATTTTAAATCGTAACAACAGGACCAGGTCGTATGACTGTGTGAATTTTTGTGATTGTTTTTTTTTTAAATCGTAACGTTTTGTTTAGAATAAGTCAACGAATAAGTTGTTCAAAAATTATTTATAAAACTAATGTACAAAATACACACATAGGTGGTATTTTAAGTTAATGAAAACTGCCCACATAATCTTTTTTTTACTATGAAGATCAACGAAAAAAATTTGTGCGCATATTCGACATCGTCGAGTCCGATCGACAAAGAAGGATGGCTGTGTAAACGCGGTGAATTGAATAAAGGGTACCAAAAACGATGGTTTGTTCTGAAAGGGAACCTTTTGTTTTATTTCGATCGGAAGGCCGACAAAGAGCCCGTGGGTGTAATCATACTTGAAGGGTGTACCATTGGTAAAGATCAATCATAATTATCATTATTAACTTACATAGATAATTAAACACAGATTTTTTTTTTGGTACGTGTAGAATTGGCCGAAAACGACGACCAATTCAGCTTCAAAATTGTGTTTCATGGGCCGAACAACCGAAGCTACGTACTTGGAGCTGAAAGCCAGGAGTCTATGGAACAGTGGATGAAGGCGTTGGCTTGTGCGAGTTACGATTATATAAAATTGATGGTCACCGATTTGCAGAGACAACTTCAAGAGCTCGAACGTAAGTTAATAAAAATAAAAATAAATTGATCAGTCAATTGTAGATAGATATAAAATGTTATGTTACTTTAGAAACTCCCGCCCCGTCATCTCATCCAGTACCAAAGGATCAAACTCCCGAAACAAACAATTCTAACGAACGGCTGTCACCTCAGCCTCCTCTAAGAGGCAGACACAATCCGTTCAACAAGCCCAGCGCTCCATCACAACAACGCAAAGACATTGTATCTCATCGTAGTATTGCTTTCAAAGAGCTACACAATCAGCTGGGAAGATCTATACTCCGCGACCGAAACGAATGGAGATTCGGACTTAAAAAACCGAATTTAAATAATCAAGAGCCTCTAATTACTTTGTGATACATTTTTTAAATGATTTGTTGGTTTTTTTCTTATTTAGATGATTTTGTGATCGTTATTTTTGTAATCTTGCATAACAGACTCATTATATATCATTATGTTATGATTATAAAAATTGTGTTTTTATCAGCTTGTAGTTTGTACTTATTGTTTCCTCATACTATAAATGACATATTGAATAAGGATTGCTATGTAACAGAAGGCCAACTACATGCAATTTGAGTTATCTTCAAACAGTCGAATGTAAAACATTAAAAGGTCGACAGGTTCAGTCTGTTTTAGTTTTCTAATGCATTATCGTAATTATGAAATTGACTATATCGGTTTGTTTTGCTATACGTTTTTCAATTTGCTTATGTGCTAGAGAACAAATGTACTATGCTGTTGCCGACATAAAACAACAAATTATAATCGAAACCAAACCACACAAGTTTCAAATCGGCAAAGTAAACTATACGTGCAGTATAAATGCCACGGGGTAAGTCGTATCAAGTAAGTTTTAAAATTGCTAATGGGTTTTTCATAATCAGATTTTGTCGTATTCTATTCCAGATGAGATTATTTAGAAGAGCACACGTAGAGACTTCCGGACAGCGCCCCACAGGCGTACTCAGCAGACTTCTTGGAAGGTTATGCGACCGTCGATCGCATACATCTTTATTGGCATAACGCACTCAACGACTTACAGATGAATAACGTTAATGGGTGTACGACTATGAACGATTACATTCTGAAAAATCCAGAATGGGTTCTATTGAAAATCAAAGAAAAACGCGGATACGATACTTTTTAGTATCAAATAGGTAGAAAATAAACATAGAACAGAGACTTTAATCGAGATGGATTTACCTCCATTTCTTTTTTTTAAGTGGAACTAATGTACAAACAACTCTAAGACTTGTGCGATGGATACATGAAAGGCAAAACTAGTAAAATGGAAGAAATATCTTGGGTTGAATTTTTGTGTGTTTTAATGATTGATTGATTTGTTAACAAAATATATTTGAATATCATTTAAAAACATTTTGCAATTGGTTGAACATTCAAGAAGACTTGTATGACTTGGCGACCGCTCTCGATACAAACATAACTCATCCCAAACCATTTGGCAGTCCTCGACTCTCATCAAACTGCTGCCAGGATATAAAGACTTGCTTGTGTCTCACTAGACGTGGAACCGGTACCTAATTAAAGTCAGTATATTTACAAATTTCAAAACTGTTTACTAATGTGTATATTTTTTTTTTGTCACTTTTATACTTAAGGTACGAAACAATGTTGAGGATACAAGAACGTTACCTTTTCTGGTACAAAATGAACAAAAAGTCAAATCACTTGGTGTTTGGCCAAAAAACTACGTTTACATCTTACCCTGGCCTTATACATTCTTCTGAAGATTTTTACTTGATTTACTCCGGACTAGCTGTCATGAAAATTTCATTTAATGTTATTACAAACAATTATTATATGATAAAGTCAGCCATAAGGGTCGAGTAGGAAATTCTACTTAGTTTTATATATTTGTAAGCCGACAAAGATTGTACTTAATGGTTTTCATATTTCTTTTTTTTAGCTGTTTGTTTTTATATGTTCCATGGTTGCAAACCGAATTGCTCGCGATGGATCCAAATGGGGAAAATTGTTTGGACCGCACAACAGCGGTACAAACAACAACCAGTGGATGATAGCTATGATGCACTCTTCCACCCTTACCATAGACCTCCCAAGCACGGACTGATGTTCCTTGGCTTTAGTGGTTTGCCCCGAAGGGATCCCCTACGACTGCGGACCGACTAGTAGCACTAGGTGCTAATTGCGAGCCGGAGAAGGTGTGTCTCAAGATGAAGTGACCAGTCAGAAGGCCACTTTTTGGAGGGCTCTACGTAAAGTACGGACTGCTTGAGGTGGTCGAACAAGTACCAGGTCAACTCCACTCATGAATACAACCTTGGCAGCTATCGGAATGTTAACCATCTTGGACAGCCAGTCTGTTAGGATTTCAAGCCGGTGAAACGCCAATGGGCATACGTTAGTTATGTTTACAAAAACTAGTATTTAACCCTTTTCTGATATGGTTTGCCATGACAATATTTGATCTGTGCAAGATTTAAAGGGTATATATTCCTTATATATACACCTTATGTAAATGTATACAACCTCCCCATTGTCGCCAACTCGAACTAACTTATTACAAAGGATATAAACTGTAGTATACTGAATTGTAAAGTATTTATATGTTTAAAAAAAATTGCTTATAAATGCAAGCGCACGTATGTAGATTATATCATATGTACAAGCTGGGGACGGATTTAGGATTATTTTTTGTTACTAAGACTTTTTACTGAGTAGAAACCGCCAAACTATTGAACTCCTTCTCTGCTCAACTTTGATATTTAAGCCCAAAACACTAAATATTAACTGAGCACCTCCCCTCATCCTTTTTTTTAAACCGCCCTCGCGTACAGTATATTACCAGTCGTTTGTCAATATTTTATATTTATACATTACAACTCTATCATCCAATATATATTTAAATACAATATATTTATAATTGTGTTGTCCACAATTTAGATGAACCAACCTAATATTTCCGGTGGGTCATTGTCACTTTTTAAAGGTGTTTATTGTGTTGTGTTTTATTTCCAATAACGCATATAACTTTAGACAGTTAAACGTGGGTACATATCGACTATTGCCTGCTAAATACCTACTTATCAAATTATTATTGAATGTTTTTGACGAGGAGTCAAAAACGAGTGAAAGAAACAGTTTTTTTTTTAATTTAACAGATCAGCATACGGGTCAAGCTACAGCCATACCGCATACGTCATACATTTAGACTTAAATTTACATGAAATAACTACGAATTAATAAACAATAAATCATAAATAAATAAATGAAAATGTATTAAACTTGACTAAAAAAAAATGAACTAGTCCATAATATAGTTATTAACGATTACACCAATCACAGTAAAAGTACATTATTATATTATACAAAAAAAAGTATAGATTGTCTAAACAATAAAACAGCCATATATATGTAAATAGATTATAGTTGTTTTTTGTTATACATTTTTTTTTTTATTATTAATAGGTATTGATTTTAAGTTAAGATTATTATATTTTTACATAAATATGACAGCATTGACTATGATCTGCATGTAAAATATTTAACGGATACATTAGGTCAAATTAAAAAAAAAAAAATTATGCACCAACTCGTTCTAAGAAAAAAAAATAAGAGACTCGATAATTAAACATACTAATTAATGCTAAACTATTGTAGGTGGTATTTGAAGTGAGTAAACCCGTCGCTAGCAACAAACGAACAACAGCTGTTCATTAGTTTCCTGTTTATAGTCAATCAAATTGCGAATGCCCCGCCTTAAGGCCATATTGTTATTTATTTATAACTCTATTCCAAATATTATTATAATGTTTTTTATGTTAACGAAAAGCGTAATCTTCACCGTTGAAAATTACCAGTTGCAGCCTCAAAAGCAATTAAGGTCAAGCTCGTGATACAACATTGGCGGCGTTTAAATATTTGTACATAATTTTAATTGATTATTTAACTAAAAGTATATACCCTTTTCGACACAATTCATCGTAACACTAAATGTTAACTCTTATAAATACTATGTATTATAATATATAATGCGCATTAATTATACATAGTAATTAAACGGCTTTGGTTTTATCGCTAAACAATTTGGTTTTCTTTTCCATCTGTATTTAAAATTTCAACTAATACTCCGTTATTTGTTTTGTAGACTAATTAACCTATTGAACTAGGCGTCACTTCTGCCATCGGTTATCAAGAATGTTTTCTCAGTCTCTTTCTTTCTCTCTCTCTGTTTAGACTTTGTACACGAAATATATCAACTGGTTTTTCGTTGAACTCATAGACGAAATTAAGGTGTTGTATATCTACGTCAATATTAATTAATAACAACCAAAGAAAATTGGAGAAGGTTAATTTTTTAATTTATAATAAATTACGACGTTGTTTGTTGTTCAATAGGTACATAGTACAATTTGTCCCACAACGATTTGACTCTAAAACATTTCTAATTTGGATTTTGAAGAAATAAAAAATTATTATTCCGACGTAGGTACAATATATACAATATACGGTTGTATATCACCTATTATTGTTTTAAGAATTTGTTTTGCTTTATTAAAAAAACCTAAATACCTATATAATATTATATTGCCTGTTTAGACTACTGTGTGTAATAGGATGAGATGTGCCATTAAAATAGTAATTGTCCTGTTGGCTGTTTCCCCGCCTCTCTCAAATTTGAGTTCACTAAAGGATGTTTTAATTTTTCTTTGCAATATATGTTTAATTTTTTTTTATGTTTGTAGATAATTTTTTGTTTTTATACCTACTTCTAGGTGGTGGACCATATATGAATAATATTTAAATCAAACTAGGGTCAAACAAAATTAAGTCTTGTTGGCCATATTGAAAAGTGTGTAATCTACTTTGTAGAATGTAGGGCATAAGTAAATCTTAAAAATCCGTAAAAACGATAATGTGTGTCAAAGAATATTATCGAAGGACACTGTACACTACATGGATGATTATATACGAGAATATTTATTTTATATTATATAATAATGTATACGTATGTTTTTTTTATTCGATTGATAATATTTTAATTTGGTTTGAATTGAAACGCACAAACTACAACCTGTTGCAACTTCTATGCTCACTTATATTGTGTATATAGTTTAAATGTAGGTGACTTATCGCTGTTTGTGTGTTGTGCTTGAACATAATATGTGCATAATCAACGCATTGTCGGTTATCTTTTGGACCAAAAGTCATTATTGGGTAGGAGACGCAATTTTTAGTTGCCTGATAATATTAATACATATTATGGCAAGACGTCAGTCTAGGTGGTAATATAGTAGTTTAAATCTAGTCATGATCTCGAAGGGTTGCGCGTTATTGTTTTTTATAGTCGCAGCTTGGACGATACAGTGTTCGGCTGTGTTGAAAAACCAAACTTTGGTGGCTGTCAAAAGATCTAATGGCAAGTTCGTCGTCCAACCCAAATTGTATATCACCAAAACCAAAGAACTGATCGTCGGCAGGGCCAAGTATACTCACAGTATAAACGAAACGGGGTGAGTTTAAGGAATAATGATACCTGTGATATCAAGACTTAGGGGAAGTACGCTGTATACCGTCCATCGGCTAATTCTGCCCACTTTGATATTACATAAACTATGATTTATATCGTCATACTGGCAACACTATTACAATTTCTTAGAAATTGATCTATCAATTGTTTATCGAATATTTATCACGACTTGTTTTTTCCGCCCGTTGTTTATGTGATAATTTGCCGTCACCACCAAAGCCCTAATTAATTGTTTTTTACCTAAATGGGTCAAAACGCCAAGTACGAACGAACGTTTGAAGTGACCCCTCGGATTTTTTTTTAATTACACCATGTCTGGTACGATAAAAAGAATATTCTCAAATTTTTTGTAGTTTTACTTATTTTTTTATCATTTTTTTTATAGTATCTTTGGTCATTAAAACAAATTATTAAAAATCAGTTAGTTATGTAAAAAAATCTCGGCTATTATTAACATTGAGTTAAAAATCTAAAATGTTGGTTTTTTCGTGTTGTCCAAAATTTGAGAATCTTTCTAATATTTTTTTCAGATAATTTTACATAAAATGTGTAAATTTCAAATTCGGTTCTCTATAAAAACAAAACAAAAGAAGAAATTTCATAGACAAGTCGAAAAACGGAAAATTATCTTATTATTACACATGAATATTTCAACTATTTTGATTACTGTAATCGTTTATCGAGTAAGGTATTATATGATTTTTAGGTATAATAAAAACTAATTTTTTATTCCAAAAATATTCATGATAATCACAGTTTTCCCAGTAATTCTTACAGTCCTGGCTGCCTGAAGAACTGAACTTGTGGGATTATTGAGTAAATAAAAAACAATATTTATATTTAAAACGTATACAGTAGTACCTAAATCTATTTTATTTTCATTACATCGATGTGTTTTAATAGATACCTAGTCCAAATATTATTGTTGCAATTTTACTTTTAACAATCGCCTTTTAAGATAATATACTTTTTACTAAATATTATTTATTAAATATACATTTTTATCATTAAATATAATAAAGGTTATATTAGAAAAATGTCTAACTATTTACATTATTATTTCACTAAAAAAATTCATTGTTGCATGCAATTTGAATTACACCAACAACCAAAGGTTTTTTAGCTTCAAACATTGTTTTTACTACTCATGTACGTTGCGAAAACAGAATTTAGTTATGTTATTTACCTACTTTAAAATCTATGATTTAAGTGCGCGTCGCACCGGTGATTTTCAGTGGTAAAAACATGTTTAAGCAGACTGAAAATAACTCGCTTAATTTTAGTTTTAGAGTAAAAGCACCCATTATAAAATTAACAGAGAACAATATTCCGGAGGGCAAGACGGTGCAAAATTTTTTTTTGAAAAGTTACAGTCATTTAAAAATGTTAAAATAGTCGTTATTTCTAAACTATGTATTGAGCGTTATACTTGGAATAATGAAAAAAATGCACCGTCTTGCCCTCCGAAATATTGTTTTCTTTTAATTTTATAATGGGCGCTTTTACTCTAAAACCAAAATTAAGCGAGTTATTTTCAGTCAGCTTAAACATGTAGAGTTGAAATTTTTTTTTTAAATCTCTTTCAAGGATGCTGTGATAGTACGAAAAATAAATTAACTACCAAAATAGAGTCCTAGTTATTGAGCTAATAATTACACATCACAGTTTAACCTTTAAATTAAGAATTTTGTGAAAAATTGCCTATACTTTACTCCTTAAAAATAGGCGGTGCGACGCCCTCTTAACAGTTTTTATAATGATAATTTTGGTAATAATACCATGATTTTCAATGTCAAACAGGACATCGATTTAAACCATTATTCTGTTCTCGTGTCTCTCATAAGCTTTTCTGATCAAACATTGAAACGCAGGATTTGATTACAGATGGAGCTTTTTGGAGATTAGGACGTCGCCAAAAGTAAAAGACCCAGACCAAGCGTACGGGGCTGGGCTCTTGGAAGGTGTGTTGACCGCTGACCTTATCTACTATCATTGGGAGAACACAATGAAAGGTTACTGTACCGAAGCGTGCCCCAAGGTGAAGGAATACATGACCAGCAACAAAGAATGGATCGAATCAAACTTAAACGCGTCCGATCCTTACTGGTACCAAGTGCGTTTCCTGACTTTAAATCGATTTTAGGGTTATCATTATTTTTCATTGTCTTACATCCCGCAGGTAGGACTTTACGTTAAACAATTAGACGGATTGCACGACGGGTACATGCGTGGTAAGTCTAAAGACGTGCCGAGTCTGTCATGGGACGATCTCTAGTGAGTGACAACTATTTCTAAACAATCGAACAAAAAAATCAAAGATTTATTTCTTAAACGACCGAACCGTTGTTTTGTTAGCTGGCTAAACGCTATGGATGATTTGGGTGACTTGATAGCGGCTCTGGAACCTTCTAAAGCCAATCGCAAAGTCCAAGGCAGCGGTTCGTGTTCGGCTCTTGTGAAACTTTTACCCGGCAACACTGACCTTTTGGTGTCTCACGTTACTTGGGCTGGGTAATGTTTTTATCGTACCCTATCCACTTCATTGATTAATTTCATTTTTCGTGGACTTACGTTATAGCTACGAGTCTATGTTGAGAATACAGAAGAGGTACAGTCTACGATTTAGACAAAGCGAATCGTCGACGAAACTAATTCCCGGGTTTGACATGTCATTCAGCTCTTTTCCCGGTGGCATCCAATCCGGTGACGATTACTACTTAATGTCTTCGGGACTGGCCACCATGGAAACGACCATAGAAAACTACAATGCGTCCCTGTGGTCGAACATTCAACCCGTTGGCCAGGTTGGTGTTGACATGGATATTTTTTTTTGGGCTGGAAGTCTAGAATGAGTGTCATCATATCAATTATTATTCCAAGCCGAGGGATAAGTCAAGGAAGGGAGGGGAAGACCTGGGGTAGGGGAGAGAAAAATATATCCCTGACTTAACGATTTTCCATGTAGTGGAAAAATAAAATTTGTTTTTCCATAAGGCATAACATTTTTCCTTGGGTATTTAACATGGACCAATGATGGGTACAGCCTATGAACAGGCAACCGAAATTTTGGCGACTTTTCATAACCGTTCTCAGTCTGCCCGGTGTAAATGTATACTGCCCAAGGGTTCAGATGGTTGTTGTGATCCGGACACCAAATTCATTGAATCATGCTACATAACTCTAGGTTTTTTTTTGCCTTTAAATCTTTAGCCCCGTTACCAATCCCGTGTGATATATTCTGAAATTCGTATAGTGCTCATTTCTGATATCGTTAATGGTTTTGATAATCAACCACTTTTGAGCTATGGAACGTTACACAAGAGGCATGACTGATGTTTGTGTCATTTACAAAAAATGTTATTTTGATACCGATCGTTGAAAGGTGTTAGAGTTCGTGAGGGCGATGGTGGCCAACCGGCTTGCAAAAAGTCCGTCAGATTGGGTTGACATATTCAAGAAGTACAACAGCGGTACGTACAACAACCAATGGATGGTAATTAACTATGCAGCGTTCCGCCCGGGAGAATCGCTACCCTCGCGGGATTTACTTTACGTGCTCGAACAAATGCCGGGATACATACTATACGACGACCTTACCGAACATTTGGTAAACCATTCTTATTGGGCCAGCTACAACGTGCCAGCCTTTCCGTTTATTTTTAACGTGAGCGGCAATTACGATATGCAACAGCGTTTCGGCAATTGGTAAGCACACACCGAAGAGTGTCTTGAGTTTGTGATTGTCCAATGTGATTATGATGATTCGGTGTTCGGTAAGTTAAGGTAGCATTAAGTAACATTTTCAAAATTGAAAAAGAAAAATTTAAAAGGTTGCCAACCAAGTTACCATAATCTTGGACATGAATGTTTTGAACGCTTATATTAGAACCCATCAGAGTTTAATGAAAACTTCACCTTGAAATAGTTTTTATTCTCTCGGTGAACTCTGGTGAGTTTTTGTCGGTTCACCCGATAAAACATGACGTGTTGCAGGTTCTCGTATACGGACACTCCTAGAGCGAGAATATTCGCCAGAGATCAAGGGAAAATTCATTGTGACAACTGTATGGTACACTTGATGCGATCCAACGACTACAGGAACGATCCGGAGTCGGCTTGTCAATGCGATCCTCCGTTTTCGGCGGAAAACGCCATTTCAGCCAGGTCAGCAAAATTCCAATATTTAGGTCTTAGATCCTCGCGTAATCCTTCGTGACATACGTTAAAAAGCAGGTTAGGTTGAGTAATTCTCGAGGTTTTCAGTGTGACCAGCTCCAAATGACTAAAATTCATTACCTCTCTGGTGAACTACAGCGATTGGGGCTTTTTTTTTTATTATTTTCTAGCTTTAATCTGAGAAGGTATTGTTTTTACAATGATGTGTACTTTTTTTTATGTCTTGACTCACGATATCTTTTAACCGTTCAACCGATTTCTTCATGTCGCAAGTCTTTAAACCGAATATCGTTCCAGAAAAGTGCTTAACAAGACTACAATGTTAAAAAAGTCACATTTTCCTCTTCAAAATCAAGAAAATAAAAAAATTATCATATAATAATATTAATTACATTATATCTTTTAATATTAATTAACATTTTTCAGCTTAAAACTATGGTGCTCTATAATTATTATTTTTTTAATGTCGTATTAGTTCTAAATTTGTATGGAACATTCTTTAGATATGGTACTAGTGATTAATGTTGACAAACCAAAAAAATATCATAAACCCTATCCCCTAAAAAGGGTGGACATTTTTTCTTTATTTCACTTTTTAGTTTAAGTTTTAATGCTTAAGGTATAAAAACTAGACTGAAGGTAAATCTAGAATGATACTGTATCATACCTATACAATTTCTTCAAAAATCTGTAGTCAAAATTTGTTTTGATTAGAGAAAGTCACACTTTGACCGTAGTCAGTTTCTTGGTTGATATGTGTGAACGAATCAATAGTCAACAGGCATTTGAAAATATTTTCATTATATCGTTAATTACGAAATAATGGTTAATGATTACAGTGAAATATTATTATAGACAGACGATCAACCCTAACCGTCTCCATCCTAATACTGAAAATACAGTTTTAAGCACATTGTTGTCATTATCTTATTATATACCTGATTTTATCGATATTTGTATTCCCATACTCTGTTCGGAATAAGAACGCACCAGACGACAACGTAAATACCGGGTTTTTACGTGGCTGCCCGGAGCGTTCTTGTTCAGAATAGAGTATACCATTACAGATTCGCATCGAAGCTTCTATTTGAAAGTGATTTAATTACTTTCAGTTACCTGTAGGTCCGTGATATCCCTTGCGTTAAAATGCTCCGTCCACACTTTGACCCGTGCCCCATACAACTGTATAGCTGTACCGGAATTATTTTGTTTAAACTTATTGGTTTTTTTTTATTTTGAATCTCAGGAATGACTTGAACCCGGCCAACGGTACGTATCCCATAGCGGCGTTAGGTCATCGATCGCACGGGGCCACCGACGTCAAGATCACCACGTACCGACTATTTCATCAGTTACAATTCAAATCCGTGTCCGGACCTACTCAAGGCACTGACGACCAGTTCGGTCCGTTCTGTTGGAGCAAATCCGATTTCGCCGACACCGTACGCCATGTCGGTCAACCCGATTGCTTCGATTTCGCCCCCGTCACACACCAATGGTTGCTGTGATCCGCGTTCGCTAATAGACCTTCAACCGTTACATATCTCCCATACACTTAATATACCGTCGCGGGAAGACCCTATTTGATTTTTCAAAAAAACAATTTTAAAAAAATATTATTACTAACCCAGTAAAGTTTTATAAAATAAAAATATATAATAAATACGAAGCGTATATAGGATAAATCCTAACACTAAAAGTAACAAATCTATTTGTTTATCATTCATATGGGTTGAAAACAGCCGTAGGTATAAGCTATAATCGAGGAAAAAAATTAATTTTCCGTTCGACCAATAAGACACTCACAATATGCTTAATATATGCATAATCCTACCTCTGATCCTATGTTTTAAACTTAAATAATAATAGTAAGTAATTATCTAAAACTGATTAACGACTATTCAAAATTTTCAGCAAACCATTGTTAGTTTAAAAAGCTAGTTAAATATGTACTTTACCATTTAAGTTTCGGAAGTTGATAAAGCTCTGAAGAATAGTAAAAAAGGTAAATGTTTAGTATTTTTTTGATATTGTAAATTAACAAATAAAAAAAAAAATTTCAAAAAAGAAAGCTGTAAAATTATCATTGTTTTTTGAGAAAATGAGTATCTAAAGTCGACCATCCTGTCTGAACACAAATACATTTGATTTTCAAATTACCAAAGCACGGTTTGACTTCAATTTATTAATTTAGAATTTTAACCAAAAATTGCCTATACCGAACGCCTAGGAGTCGGCGAACTTGAACCATGCATCGTGACATTGGAGATGTCCCGAGACAAAATAAGTCCAAAAACGGAATAATATCTAAAATCTAAGTTTTGTAACGAGGATATAAACAAACAAGGGTAAAATTACAACCCTGTTAAAAATTAAATTTCAATACGACAATCAAAATAAATGTTTTATAGCTATTTTTTTATATTTACATCTTTCGATATATTAATTTTAGTACAGCGTTTTTGTCAATATTATCGTTATGTGTCTGTAACGTGGTGTGTACAGTTAGTTGTAGGGACTTTGACTTGAACAAATGAAACGTCTAAAAAAAAAAAAAAATTAACAATAATTAAGATTAAAATATGATAATATGGTGCAGAACAAAGCCATCGCCGAAAATTTAATTAATAACGGCACGTGGTGAGCGTTCACAGTGGCATGGCGAAGGTTTGTCGAACGGTACTTAAAACGGAATATCGAACGACAAGGAAAGTATTATTAAGTAATATTTTATCATCTTAATGACAATTACAAGATTAACAAGCACTTAGCAGACTATAAGATAGCGTTTGTAACGTTTAGCAAGTTTTATTTTCGAAAATGACTCGGCCGTTTGTCCAATTTTTTTTTGCCAGAATTTTAGCAGTCAAAGCCAAAGTGTAAAACACTGTATTTTCCATAGAACAATTTTAAGAATTGTTTTTTTATACCGAACAATATAAAAAGCTATAAATTATGTTATGCAATGTTATGTTATCTTATTCTGTTATTTATTTATCGTTTTGTTATTTAGTGTTCAGTGGCAAACTATAATCAAACGTGGCAAATATAAATGCAAATCATTTAACATAATTTACTTTACAAGTTTTACAATAATTTGTATTGAATAATTTTAATCGTAACGCAATAATGTGCCGTACGAAAAACAAAACACAATCATTGTTTTCCTTTTAAAAACATTGTATTTACACGTTTTGCCCCCTTATTTATAAAAGAGGTAAATACACACATTATTTATTATATATAATTTTTTTCAGCTTTCTCCTCCAGCCCAAAATTCCATTCGGTTTTTAAAGCAACCAACCATCGCAACCACTAAAGACATATTATTTTATAATATTAATAAAACGTCTAGTTATAAAAAAAAAAGTTTGATTTTTTAAGTAAAAAATTGCTTACATAAAATAATCGTGAAATAATTATTATATAGACTATTGACTTTATTTACAATTAGTAATGTAATACCGTTTAAACAGGTATAACACACGTTACTATGACTAATTTAGTTTTTATAACTAGACAACGTTTTGAATTGTTTAATTTTCTCATCAATTATCATTTTATACTACTTTGAATGTATCAATTAATTGACACTTGATCAACCTGATAATTCTTCTTTTTTTTTTGTGCCAGAGTAGCATTGTTACTTGGAATTGAGAACACAAATCAGCTACTCGATTCGCGGAATCTAAGTATGCTATTGTTGTGGAAAACAAGTATAAGTTTAAACATAAGTAATACGGTACACTTATAGGTAGAAAGTCCAACATAACCGTACAAATGTGCGCAAACAAGTGGAAAATATTAATAATCTTTAACGGGATATTATTACGCCGGTAGGTTTTACGGATTTTCTAACGTACTTATATTTACACAACATCGAGCGGATCTAATCTACTGTTATGTTGGTAGGATCAAGGATTAAGAGCATTAAACATTGAGGATAACAGGACACTAATTTCTCATTGGTTAATACTTGAAATACTGTAGTTTTTCTTGTTGGAGACACTTTTGTTATTTTACAATATTATAAAATTACTAAATATTTATTTATTTTTTGTCCTGAGCTCCATCAAATTTTAAAACTTAATTGGTAACGTATATATTTAATTGAGAATCATTTGTAACTGTTTAGAATGGTCGATAACCAGGTTTGGATAATTACTTTTAAAGTTATTTAGAACGGGAGTAATAATTGTGCGGTTGAGTAATAAACTTTAACATGTTAATAATTAATCATTCAAAACTGGACCAATTTACATTTTCAACAATAAACTCTTAATTTGAAAGCTAATTATATGTATACGTTACTACTTAGGTTACAAAAGTTGATAGACCTCTGGAAAATAAAAAAAAGGTAATTGTTTAATTATTTGATAACATTATAAAATAAAATAAACGAAAATATACTCAAAAAAGAAAACTACAAAATTATTTTAGTGTCTTATCTCTTAAAAATCACCATAATGTATTATTATTACTATTAAACTGTTAAAATCGTTAAAAATCACTATAAGTCGTAAAACAATTCACGTTTTGAAAACATACACATGATTTTTTTTTTTTTTAAATATATAGTATTTTATATTGATGGCATTTTTTTTTTTTGTACTATACTTTTCTCAACATAATAGGATATAATACTCATAATATTTTGTTCTTTTTTTAACCGACAACTTAATGATGTGTTGGTAGTTTTTATAATATTACTATTTACAATGAAATAAAAATACAATAAATATTCCGATCGGCGTTGGGTTATCTATTAATTGACCGGTATTAAATTTCTGTAGATGCGGTATGAATTGTTAGAGAACAAAAAACTTGAATGAAAGGTGACACGTGTCGTGTAGGTATTAATTATTACCTACTAGATAGTTATAGGCAATGTGGAGTAGCTATTGGATTTCGAATACGATGATTAATCACTTTTAGTAGAAACTGAATTAATTATACTGACGATTATCCATAAAAGCAATCAGGTCTTTTAACGTTCAGTTTAATGATATAGTTACATATAAAAAATATGTAACTATATCTATTTATTTAACTATTTATTTTTGAAAATTAAATCTACAACACCCGTGCGGTACTTTCGTGATGATTCCTAATAGAAGAGTAACACATCCATTTATTTGTCAACCATATGGTTAAATAAAACTACTTCTAGTTCGACAGACACTAGATAGGTTTATAATATTTAAAGCAGACAGAACTAAAAAAAACTCTCATCAATTTGGTAACTATTTAAAGGGTTAAAAAATTAGTATCTTGTCCTTATAAATCACCATGCATAATTCAAAAATGACACTTGTTACTCTATTGAAGAAATGTAGAATACAAATTTCAATTTCGGTTTTATTAACAAAATATATTTTCCCAAACGTTTGATTGGACTTTAAAGTGATTAGTAATGTGTTATTCCGTATTATTAAATATAACACACTTAGACCAATTTTATTTTCACTATGAATTTATCAGCACAATGTATTGTCCCTCGAAATGTGAAATTTTCATTATACTTGGGCAAGTGTGTCGAAATATAGTCTAAACTATACATTAATAGGTATACGAAATGTATTTGCTAAAGGAAAAATAACATTTATAATAGCGTTTACACAATACTATTAAAATGTGACGGCTAATTAAGTGTGAGAAAATGTGTTTTAAATTAAACAATTATCTGTCCTATATATTGAATTCCCACAGTCATTTTTTTTTGTGTGTGTCTTTACGTCAGCCAAATCTGTCGATTAATTTTCGGTTTTAGCAATACAGCTATAAACGGTTTTTCACACGTCATGTGTAATCAATCATACAAAACTGTGAATCAATACCAAACGATTAAAAGGAAAAAAACATAGAAACGAGAAGCGATCAAGTAGGTTTAAATTACAAGTTAAACAAAAAAATTAATTAAAAATAATAATAATGATATTTTTTTATTTCTATAGGTAATTTTTTTTTTTTGCGATAAGTGCAGATATTATTAATCGTTTTCAATGATAAACAAAGTGTTTGAACTTTGAAGTTAAACCGATTCATTACCTAAACAGCAAAATAGTTGTCACCATCTCGAAAACATTTACCCAAGTCCGAAGTTTGACTGGTTATTTTTTAAATATCCTGACAAAAGAAAAAAACTGTGTTCATTCAATTTGTTTGGCATGGAATTTCTATTTCAGAGCTTCCTCGACTTTTTAGTCCATTAGTCTTTCGGTTTTTTTATTGATTTTCTGACCTATATTAACACTATAATACTGACCAAAGGGCAGCCCATTATTGATGGCTTACAACGTTGAGCTTAACGTTCTATAATATCCTAGTAACCTAATTTTAAACAATTTCAGCTTGGGTTAAAAATATAATTATTTTTGTCTCGTTACCATATGCATTATATAATTATATAAGAATTCTTGTATCCATTTATTTTATTTTACTAAAGTACCTCCCTCCTGCCCCGCCAAAAAAACAAAATTTATTATAAAATTTAATAAAATAATTTGTTGATATTAAATATTTTACTACGAGTTCATCAATATAACTTAAGACACGTTATTATTGGATTATAGTAATAACTGTTTTTCTTCTTCTTTTTTGTTAGTTACTTAAAAATATTATACAATTTTCAAATCGACCAGCCGAATAATTGTCAGTAGATTATACTCAATTTCAAAAAGTTAGCTGATATGGCAACTTAAACAACTCTAATATTTAGAAATTGTCTACAATTGTGAAATAAAATACATTTAAAAAAAATATATATTTAATTTGTTCCGGGGAATTAATATTTTACGTTTAGAGAACGTCACTCCGCCAATTTTCAAGGAGTAAAATATAGGCAATTTTTTGCAAAATCTTAATTTAAGGGTTAAGCTGTGACGTGTTAGTTTAGTAATTAGGACTCTTTTTTGCTATCACGGCACATTTTTTTACTTTTTAAGTGCTTATATTTAAGGTAAAATTTAAGTTAAAAAAAAACCGACGAGGGAACCTAGTTAACATTCTTCTTTGTAACTGTATCAACATTTGTTTTCTATGACCGTTTCGTATTGACCTACACACTTTTACATAAAAACATTTTAACGTTGAAAGGTTATATATTAAAATGGACAAGTTCAAATTATTTCGATCCTTTTTAATATTCCATCAGGCGTTCCACAATACTTTCGTATAGCTCCATTGTTATTTATTATGTATATTCATTAATGATTTACATTTTTTTAAAAACTCCTGGAAATAATTACTTGAAATTATAATAAAATCCCCCTCGGCTCATTTATTTTACTCAATAATTTAAATTCTTTATCAGTCTAGTGTAAACTTAACAGTTTATCATTACTTATTCTTAAAATAATCTCGTAATGATTTTATTTGTTAAAATAACATTAC